CCGATTCACTATAGATTTGAGAAGCACCCGACTCGAGTTCTGCAGTCATTATGCGTGGAAGCGTGGAAGCGCTGGTCCTCCCGGGGTTCAAACTCTTACGTGTGCCCTTCAACCAGCTAGTAATCTCATCGATAAATTAAACTGGCCAATGCTTGAATGCGGATATCGAAAATCCGGTTTCTTAAGATATTTCTATTACACACAACCGTCTCGATTGCAAAACGTTCAGCAGTATACTATCGATAAAATGGTAAGCGATTTCCAGGTAATTTAAATAGCTAAAAATTGTAATTTAATAAACCAATGAGGGCGCGAAGTGATAATCTTATGCGATCCGTCATTTTATAGAATATCACAATTTACGCTGTAAGCAAAAACCTGAGTGGCTGTGCTTAGGTGCATCAAGGTTTTATTAAACATTTCATGCTCCCGCAATCGGAGTATCCCCGTACGTTGCTGAGCTACGGACCGCATTTATGTTTCGAACAATCAAGCCTGGTAGTTCCATTTTCCAATAATATAAACGAACGTGTTTTGATTAGGTTTTTATCAGTTTCAATGTACCCTGAGACCGATATATTGTATTCTAAAAGAACTTAGAACAGAAAGTGCCAGGCAAGCGCAACAGTGAAGAATAGCCACAAGTATATTGTTACCAACAAGTAACTAGGGCAAGTCACTCGATTCAGTCAGTCGTAGCATGTTTCTTCGAAGTAGAGAGCAAGAGAATCTCGAAGTACAAGTGGTCCAATAAACCATAGAGACTGCAGCCTACTTACATGAACTGTCAGTTTCACCGATCCAGTCAAGTGCGACATCCTTTTTAACACCAGTACAGCAACAGTGCTTACAGGTTTAGTGAGCATTGTATCTAAGGCCTATGTGAAGCTCATTATTGAGCATCAATTTTGTTTGGAATCAAACGCCGTTCGTGATAATAAGCAGTATATTGTTTAGGTTTATATTCATCAAACGGCACACCAAATTACAGTGCAATAGCCACCTGTATAACCCATTGCTTCCCATTTCTTTACATCATTTTACTTTGACTTTATGAAATACAACTATAGGTAAGCATTATATATATAATCTGAAAACGGATGATCATGCGAAGAACGGCGCTGTCAATTGGATCTGAACACAGGTCTATGTGCTAAACATTTGCCTTCAAGGTGTCATGAAGCCAACATTGCATTGCTGAACACAGACTGGGGTAACCGATAGACATCACCGGGGCATCAGAGTGTACCCTTCTCTTGAACCTCTAAGCTTCATTTGAATCACTTGGCCAGCAGGCAATAAATGAAACAAGTAATGACAGGTTTCAATCACACAAATGAGGATCACTCACCTTTTGTTGCATCGGAGTTAGATGAGTGCGCGCAGTCAACAATTGAATCAGAATTCTCTCCAGATAGATCAAATCCGCGTGTTGCTTCGGTTTGCTCAATTCCGATTCGTTCGTTCTCAGCAAAGTGTCCCACTCATTATGGTATTTGGTTGTATTGCGATTTTCGTGTTTCGGACACACAGGTACGGGAAGGATCGAGGAACGATAATCGTTTCGAGTGGAACTAATCGATGCATCTGCTGGTTTGTTCCTTATTGTTTCAATCATTGACTGAATTCGTTTTCGCACTGTTTCTTCGTCTGGCATATAGATCGACTTTGCGCCCGAATTGTTCGGATGCACTTTACCGAATAGATCGAATGAGTCCATATCGATCGATATTTTGGTCCATGAAAATCCCGTGGAACAGAAAGTAAAACGTAGTCGGTCATTCTAAAATGTATAAGGCACAAGAATGAATAAAATCTTTCCATGCTGATTATCTTAATTGTGAGCAAATTATATTCACAGTTGAAAAAGATTTCATTAAAAAAGTGATCTTAGTGCTCGTGATGATTGATAAGTACACGCCCAACAAAAAAATATTTCTAGAGTACAATTGTAGACTATTCTCACTTTTTAACCTCCACGGGTGACATAAAAGTCACACTAATTTCACCTCCAATACTATCTGTTAAGGCAGACGTTCGTAAAGATAGATTCCAGTTGACTTCTTTGCAGCATCTATCACCACTGAATTTTCAAACGTCAAACAATGTGAAATTTCAAAAAATACTTTCCAATTTTACCAATATTTTGTGAAATTCCCATCTTTGAAAAGGATTTCTGTTATGTGCGTATTTCAAAATGTTATCAAGCACTTTGAAAATGGCTTTTACTTCATTCTCAAAACTTATCGACTAGAACGCAAATGGTTAAGTGGATTTTTCCTACACCTCGCCTTTTGGATAGTAACGGTTTATTACACGCCATTTTACCATGCCACGGCTCGGTATTAGCAGCAGTGATCAACAGCGGTATCAAATTTCCGTCCTGACAGTTGTGAGTTCAAAACCAAACATAGTTGGTCTACTTCAATTTCTTATTTAGCAACCTTTAAGAAACTGTGACCCCTCTGCGAAAACGAAGCACAAAGCTCTGCATCAAATATGAAAATTATTATTACATTAATTGTTATCAATGTTTAATCTAAGAATAATACCAAACAGAACTTCTGGATAGTACTTAAGGGCTCACATTGGTATCAATAAAAATAATAATGGGTGGATTTTGCTGCAAACATGTTTTTCTTATTGATCTAAGTTGACAGTTGATATGCGCCCCTGGAGTCGGAATGTGATTTACACAATCATAAAATGTTTCTCTAGGCAACAAATCGATTGAAAACAAAGAAAAATCAACTAATATTGTCTCGAAGAAAATGTAATACAACGCTGTATGATGCCTATATGTTTCTTTACTAAGGAGTAGCATGCTACGGTCAGCATGACGAACGGTTTTGCAAACTGACCCAATGAATGTGCACCATAGAAGACATGCCATTTCGCTCTTCTCCAAACTAAGGGAACCGGCTAACAACAGACAACGACGAGAATGTAGCTGAAAAACCTACAACAACAATTGTTTAGGCCTTCAGAGGGATGAACGAGACAGGGGTATAGAAACGTTGCTGCTGTTGTTCACTGATTTGCAAAATAATGGTTTGGTACTAATGAAGTGTTACGAAGTGCGGATTGTGCGCATATGCGCTCTGCACCAGAGAACATTACGAGAAAGAAAAATAGGGAGAACAAACATCTGTCGTGGATGACCGTGCGAAACGTCTAACAAATTAATCAACAAACATTACAGTGATACATTGTATCACTGTTGCTCTAATTTACTGATTTTTGTTTATTTGTTTTTGTTTTCGATTTGGTGGATAGCTTCAACTGCTGAGGTGAACAACTATTTTGAGCAATTCAATTACTAGCCTTTAGCAAATCACAGAAGAGAATGGTGTTTTTCGAGGACGGCTATTTGGTCGAACAAAGTTCACAATAATCGGGAGTGGGAGGACGGGGATGGGGGGGTGGTAGGTTATGTGGGCGACTGATCCGGGGCTATGATAATCTGATGGGATATGAAGCAACAACGTTTTAGCCTGTGTGTAAGATGAGAACAAGCAGAGGTTGATCACCTACGAAAAAACTAGGCTATGAAAAAGAAATGACTTTAACTTGTTCGGCTTTCGATTAGATCAATTTTTTATAAGGGAATGATGAATCAAAAAGGAAAGAGAAGTGAGGGTAGATGACGGACAGGCCGTTGTATTCTCGTTCTTGATCGATGCATAAACCACATTTATAAAATACATAAAGAGGTAGCTGCTACCCGATTACTGAGCAAAAGTTGTTCTGACTGGAGTGAATGAAAAGTGTACCACTTCTGACCGCAACGGTGGCCAATTGCTTAAGATCATTAACACAGGTACAGGAGGTTTAGAGTTCGAATCTCGCCACCACAGCGATCCCATTCCTGGTTGTAGATTTCACAATTTGTATGTTCCACAAATAAAACGGAATCAAAAACACTGGTATTACTAGTATTATCACTATAGTGTCATCGAGATTCTTGCAAATCCGTTGGACAAGTAAGGAAATTCAATTCGTAATCATATGACTGGCATTGCTTGCGATTTTGACCGATTTTTGCATGTCACATCAGTGAATGATGGCTATTGAAATCTGTTGCAATAGGTGTACTATTTTTTTATTGTTGTAATAAAAATTGACCTTGTGCAACTTAACTCATGGCCGGACGAAATATCCTCCCGAACAAGTTAAATTTCTGAGAAGTTCGTTTCATCCCGAGGAACTATTTAAATTTGGAATCTATCTGTGCCATAACTGTAAAGAAATAGCGGATATGGGGCGGAAACATCGTAGCGAATGAAGATTGTGAAGTCGCTCAATCTACCATGTCCCTCCACAACTTTGTTTACATCCGAGTTTTATCTCACCTGCTGCATAATTTTCCAATTATACTCCATGCTAAAGACCTTAAAGTGATTGGTGACCCCAGTGAATTGTTACTAATTCTTTCCGATCTTTCCAAGCATTTAAGTATTTTCGAGAAAACATTTTGAGCGACATAACACGTTCTATTTATTCTGATTTAATCAAGTGCATTTGATTAGACGCTCGTTCCGACAACCTATTTTCACGCATGTCTGTTCACACCTAACCTGAACGAATTTCATTGCGAACGTGAGCGTATGCAAAGTGGAGTGAAAACCGAACTGAATTAACGGTTATCCTTTTTAGTTTAACTGTTCTCAGTGCTCTATTTTGTCGCTTCGGGTATTTGGCTTCTGCTCACATGTGAAGTAAAACGACCAATTGACTTGAGTCATTTATTTTGAAAAACAGATACCCGCAAAAAAAAAGGCTGAGAGTTTTTCCAAAGGCTCACTGGTAATCACGGATTGCGCGGATACCCAATTGTGGCATTTCAATTGGATATTCCGGCACGAGGTTCTCCTTCTGTGGGTTCAGAGTTAGAACAGAAACGGAGGAAGTAGAGGATAACGACAATGCAGTGTACCAAACATCAAAGACATTCACAGACTGCATGAAATGGCTCTACCAGTGTTTCCTTATGCTTGAGAAGGATGAACATCAGTGCAATCTCACTGATCAGGTGGCCGCTGGAATCCGGAAGTGTATGATTCTGAGTTCTACATGAGACACTCAAACTTTCGAGCTAGACTCCAGAGATTGGTTTTAGTTCAGTGCTGCACCATAAGACTGGATAGACTTGGTGAATACATACTATACAGACTCCCGAGAACAAAATAGCCATATTGCTAATCCAGGACGTTTTGAGTGTTGTATTTTCCCCGCTGTTTGGATGATTTCTTACGACTCAAAACTTTCTCCCAATCAATGGAAAAAGGATCACCGACTTATATCTCTAAGTACGGAAGCTGAGCACGATACAACCAGGCAAACACATTATTGATTGTATTTTTTACGGGTTTGAACTTGTTATGCATCAGACGTGAATGTTCACGTGACCCCCAGACCTGATTTGGTTTAGGCCAGTTGCTGCTACCAGATGTATTATAAAGTAACACGCACACTTAAATTGCCGATTGAAAGTAAACAACTAGTTAGACTATCAAGGAGAAAATAGAACCCTTCGTATTTCGTAGCTTCTCGTTGCCTGATGCATGGAAGGTGTCAAAATGACCGTTGACAATAGGCCGAAGTAGGGCAAGTGAACGGGATGGGAGAATAATTTCAGCTTTCTTTTCAATGTCATAGGCGCTTTTAATCCTAACTGCGTTTTTTTATTGTGAGAAACCCATACTGGGGTTAATCCGGGATCCTTCAATACACCTTCTTTCGTAATTCCCACCGGGCTTAAGGTAAACTCAATTTACCCAGATTTTCCGCAACAGGAAACTTCTTTCCCTCTGTATTGGTATTTCCAAGGATATCTTTATTGATTTTAATGTGTGCAAAACTCATCACCTTTAGTGAACGTTGATCTTCGTGTATCTGTCACAACTCCATGCACAATAGGTATTCGAGAATCTGGTCATGACCAGTCCAAGGTTATCAAACAATATACACATGGAGAAGTACAGTGACGGGTTGGGAAGGGGTGTTCTAATCAATCCATCTGCCAGGTGAGGAACACATGATTAGTATCAGTCGATCGTTCTGACTACTCTTTTACTCGTTTCCATCTCGATCCGATTTCCGCTTATCTTAGGGACCAAATTCCCTGATCTTAAATGATTGGTTTCGATATTTCCTGAAAGAGATCCCCGGTGCATCCTCACCCCTCAGTTTCTAATTGAATCATCGATTCCGGGTCTACATAATCTCCATTCTAAGAACGTATATCAATAGATCATTTATCGAACGGTGGTCATTTGCGATTCACATTGAAACACCCCTGATTGTTTCTGCTTCAGATCAATGACCTGCCAGACTGTTTTGAATCGGAATGCCTATTATATGCAGATAATTTATTCGGTCGGAACTTGTCGTGAACACCCTGCACCAAGACCTGAATGCTTTAATGATCTCAGTCACGAGTGTGACAGTTGTTGGGACACCCCACAAAATGTCATTACATGTCTATTATCCGGTCGCCCAGTCCAAGAGTGTACCACCTTCTGGACACTCCCTTACTGGCTTCTGCAAGCAAACGGGACCTCAGAATGCTGGTTTCTACGTCATGAAAAAAAACAGGAGACAGACATACAAAGCTTGTGCCGTTCCTCTTCCAAACTTTCATTCGGCGGTTTCAGGACGATATACATCCCTCGTGTTCAACTTCACCTGGAGTTTGTGAGCACCGCGGTATATCCGTGTAAAACAGTCGAATTTACGAAGCTGGAGAGGGTTCAATGAGCTGGCACTCGCCTTATCGCCTGGTTAGTGAACATCGTTATACTCAATGATTGCAGGTCACAGGACTGTTCCCGGAGTCATATCGCCGAGTTCATGGTGGCATCATATGTGTGCGGCGTATCCTACATGGTGACATGGGCCCACAGATAATAGAGTACTTCCCTCTGCGCGAGCAGAACAGGACATCTAGACACAACCTCGAAGCTTCCGTCAATCGGATTTCCTCTCAGGTACCGACTGTCGCCCAGGATAACCAACCTATGAAATACCCCTGCAGTTGATGTGATGAATGAGACCAATGATAGCACGTTCAAGAGAAGCTCGACTGTGTTATTCATGAAAAGTGGTGTGTAGCTCAGAATTGAATGCATACCTTGAGTCAGTGGCAACGAGACTGATNGGGGGTTTCCCATTGCATCTAAGTGGCGGTGGTGGATAAGTGGTTAGTTAGGTCACCAACTTGTGACCTGGGAATCCCAAGTTTGAATCTCTCCACCGCCGCCCATTTGACCTAATTCTGTATTTTCCAGGCAGCTTCGTATGGCCGCTGCCCCCTTCCTGAATATTGACTGTGCATACATAAAAAAGAAGTAAGAAGATATCTGTCTATAAACATTGAACATCTATCTTGTCTATGCACTGTCTTATGATGTCCGTGTGACTACGGGGCAAAACCCTCGGAGGGAGTACGATCCCAAGTGCGAGTATTTGACATTCTTCTCAGTGCATTCTGTTCTAGCCTATTCGCTCAGATAGGTTGTTTTTCCACAAAGATGCACAAGTTATGCTATTCCCACCGCTACTGATCGCACTTTTATTTTTGACCGAAAGTTAGCAGGAAGCATGAAAAAATGTACGGGGAGTCCAGGGTTATGTGTACACCACTTGTTTGTAGAATGAGTCAGGCTCAAGATGAGTCTAAATAAAGCTTGAATAATGTTATATAAAAAGCTTCCTTGAGTATAAATTGCGAAAATTGGACAAATGTGCCCTATAAATGACCTTTGATCCAGTGAAGATCAAAGTTACGATAGATGTGCGGTCACATCTCATGTGCAAGGATGGCTCACTCATTTACAACCAACCACTCTACCAACACCCATTTTGAATCGCATTCCATCTCATAAATGCTCCAAAACGATAGGGTGTGCTCTATTGCTAGCAGGTATAAATAACCGCAAGCGTCATAATGTTATAGGAGCACGCTTCTCTCTCGTGTTAACAAGTCTTCTTCTTTGAAGTAAAACTGAATGTAAAAGGGCAATTTGTTTTGGGAATGAAAGCCTTAAACTAAATGTCTGTCTGATGAATTCATTTTCCGTTGANTTTTAAAAGAATCCACTTTATTCGCATGTACCAACCACGTCTCAAAAACGAGCCATAATTTGCGGATAATTGGGGGCAGAAGGAACATGAAACGCATATACGCTATTTATTTAAGAACCTGAAAGGGGGAAGTGAAATTTATCTACTATATGTGCTGACAATTCTCGGCGAGTCAGACAGTTATAATTGAATAACAAAGAATTTATGATCTATGTATGACTCATCATAATGATAGTTAAAATAAAGCAGGAAAAATATGCCACACGGATTTCCGATTTGAAACCGTTGAACCCATCCAATTGACGACTGGTAATCGTGGGTCACGTGGATGGTCATAACACGACTTGTCGTAACACCCGAGTTAGCCTTCCCTTTTATCATTCAAAACACGCAGACTAGCCCACAATGAAATCTAGATATTGGGTCTACGAAACCAAGTGGTTTCGCCGCTATTATGCACCCGAACAAGTCTTGTTCCACAGCGACAGACAATGCCATAAAACGGGTTTTCAAGATCGTTGACAGAAAAAGTCATGAGCAAAATCTAGAAGGACGGAGAACATCGATTCCGTCAATTGATCACAATTCACTCTACTAACCAGCGAACTCATAACGTCGAACGAGACCACAGCATCGAGTTCTATACATTAACATCGCTCGATCACTCCATAGATTTGTCTACGGAGAGAACATGTTTTTTTTGGGTAATACATGCATTTCATGAGCTTCACCCATATGCGATTTTTTTGTCTACAAACTATTTCATAGAGCCTGCACAAAAGACTCCTCAAAAGATGAACGTGATCCTTTAAAAGAGTTACAATACGCCAACTGATATCCCATTGAATTCATTTTCATTCATTACAAAGCAACGCCGAAAGTATAAAAACCCATAACTGCCTTCAAAATGAAAGCTATTTTTAAAGTTGTCAAAGCAGAGATGATGACGTAAGGGAAAATTATTCAGTCAGCGATTGAACTCTGTCGTCGAGTGCGTTGATTATGCCGCTGATACGCTTCATGTCTTCACTACGGCCCCGGTACCACCTACCTCGATGAAAAGAACAGTGAACTCGCCTCCAAAACTGTAATGCGTTTACCGATTCAAATGTGGATGCGTGTTCATCTACGCAGGCAGGGCAGTGAAGCAGTTGCATCACCCAACGGTCGAGCACATCCCGGCGCGGTTTAGGAAAGCAATGGACGACGCGTGTGAAATTGTTACGTTATCCAATGTAAAGAAAAGACTCATATCTTCAACCACGCAACCTCTGTTTGAATAAAAAGTCTCACGCCAAACCCAAGCATTTTAGGTCCTTTACAAGACAACAAACACAAAGTCACTGACCGTTGCCGAAGCCTTATTGGTTTATACTCACAAACCCGATCTATGCAAACAACGTGAATTTTTGGTCACATTAGCTTTGCCTGGATGATTAGTCCCTAACCTTCTGTGTTCCTCGTGCTGTCGTCTAGTATTGTTCAATGTAATTAGTAATCTTTTCTTCGTTTTACGTTCATTTCACTGACGATAAAATCCACTCTGACTGCATTATGCCCGCGTATAGTTACAGCGAAATCACCGCGAAAACATTGTGTTTCTGACTTCTCCTTTCATATTTGTGACGGGAAAACCGGGTTTTCAGAAAAAGCCAAGCCAAATATTGGATCACTGTCCAAAATACCATCACAACATGTTACGCAGAGACAGGTTACATATGTAACATTTTTTGAACGCCTCCGACCAACAGCAGTAGCCATTCTCTAACTGTGCGGTTTACCAAAAGTACACAAACAAGATGTTTCTCCGTACCAGGTCGTAGCGAAGTGGTTGTCAGACCTCTGGAACCAGTTACAGTTCAAATGGTAAAATACAGTTCATGAAACAGCTCGTTTTCCGGACATTATTCATCACATCTATTTGGCAAACATTTATCACTCATCCCAAATGTCCTTTTAAGTGAGACATTTGAAAAAATGTACATTCGTATAGGGAACAAGTTTAATTATTTACAACGGAATGTGAGATTCACGACTGAACGGCAGGTGTTTCTTCATGTAGTTGGAACATTTGTCGGAATACCGAGAGTTTCAGTTTGTAACTAAGGCGAAACACGATCCGACGTCCAGTAGTAGGCCGGCTTAGGGAAATTTACACTGAAAACACAATAAATTGAATCTGTACGCAATATGCAACTGAATGATGGCTACTCAGACTGCTTTGCGGACAACGTTACGGGGACCAGTAACAGAGGGTAGCTGAAACCGCGACGAAAAAAGCCGGTCTGTATGTCACTTCCATTCAGAGGTAAAATAGCGTATGAAATTAAACTTAGATGGCTGGAAAGCGCCTCGGACAAGCTACAATTTCTGCTTACATATAAGTCGGTGATAGTTTGACGAAAGAAAAACAATCTTCCCAGTTCGGTATATGCATTCTGTGTTCGTTCATACATGCCTTTCTGGAGGACTACGTACATGGGCAGCACAGGTAGGCATCTGCCCAATAGCCACTGCGAACATCAAGTAGCTTGGGTGACAAGTAAGCAGACCTATTCTACCACAAGCGCAATATTGTCAAATTCAATCATAGTGTAAAAGTGGCCAATCTATTCGAAACCATATAAACAGTACGTGGTAGATATTCAAGGCTCGTCAACTGTCCTGCTGATGCTGCAAGAGTCGAGACGCTGAAAATCCAATTACTCAGCCGTTTTGATGTTAAGACTTGAACAGGTATGATCAGATTCATATTTTCGTCAATCCGCTTCGTGTAATTTGCCATTAATATATCGCGTTGTATTGCTTCAACAAAAACAAGTTTTTTCACTAATCAATATACGGGAGAAATTCCACAACTTTTTTTTATTCCACTCTGTGTGAATTCCTGTCGTATGAGAATAATTATTGGGTTGCCAATGACTGCAATCACATGAATTGTACGAAGGAAAAATGCCCCGTTGAGCTGAATAAATGACGGATTCAATAACGTACATGTTAGTTCCATCACCTTCATACTAGAAAAAGTTGATATTGGTTATCCTGTCGTATTAGAAAGCTAGAATATCAACCTGCAAGGTTTTATAGACAACGTCACATCGAGTATTGCGGTATTCTCGACGTTGTTTTGACAGATATGAAAGAATCAGCTACAATTCATCTGAAATTATGTCCGATCCCCAATGTTCAAGGCAATGTGATTCAGTACGTACCTCACGTTTGGTCTCTCATATCGAGGCCATTTGAAGGTATCGAGCAATGAGAAGAAATCGCTAATGGCACATTGGAGAAACACGTGTTCACCATATAATTTCATCTGGATAAACGTTGAGCGTTAACCAAGCAGTGAACTGTTGAGGTATACGATTGGTGTCGCATGATTATTATTACTAATGATAATGTCAGGTTTATCCGCGCGTAATCCATGCCACATTGACTCTGTAATATAACTTACTTTATCATGATGAATATCCCACTCTCGACCAAGGAGTTGTAACCGCTGAACTTGGCAGTTTCGCACACTGTCCTCGGCGTGAAAAGTCATAGACATATGCTTTATCCATTGACCAAAGTTTGTTCCGGGATAAGCACCGGCGTCCACTTGCTGATCAGCATTCAGCCCCACAATCCACTGTACGTTCGCAACCAGTTTCACACAGCGCCACAGTGACTCCGTCTCACGAAGACGCGTCTGTAGGAATGTGGTGAACTTGTCTTGAGCCGATCTGCTGCCTGCCGTTTGCCCCAAACGGGGATCGTGAACCATACGGGAGTACAAATGTTTCAATTCTTCCAAAGTGCCATTCAACGAGGAGCTAGCAGGTGGTGAGCCAGTTGATTGAGAATCACAAACTGAAAGACCGGTACGAATTGTGCCCGACTCGATCGGATGCAGCTCGAGCGCGTGGTGAATAGCTTCAATAAACGTTTGTTCCTGGCGTAATAATTCATCCTAATTAAAGCAAACGCAAACAATGGGCCGATCTATTTACCACGTGAATCGGAAATAAACCGGTGCAGTTAAAGATCAGTCTACGAATGCCCAATTTTCAGTAAAACTGACTTTTAAGGAAGTTAATCAGGAGTGATAACTGCGGGTGGGATTTGATTTAGTTGTTTGCTCTTAAGTGACCATCAGTTTTCCTTTTGTTTAAGCAGATAGTGTCACATGTTAACCATACTGTATGGTGCGTACAGCAAAGAATGTGGAAAGCATATTCAAAACGAAATAAGTTCGAAAGTAGTTTGAAGTTAAGACGGACAGATAACCGAATAATTAGAGATGATTGCTGTCCCAATGACAACGTGATAGGTAAAAAGGCAAGAAATCGAGTTAGGTTTTGCCATCACATTACAAAGTGATATTCTAAAAACGTCATTATGGATCGATGAAATTGTGGTCAGTCAAAACTATTTCAAACTGAGTGAGAAATCCCGTGTAATTCAAATCTAAAGAAAACTTGCCAATACTAACCAAATGTGCAATCAGAAAATAATCATGTTGAATTATGTCGAAATTGTGTAAAGTTCAACAGCCACGGTAGGATTCGAACCCACGTACGGATGCCGCCCACGCTTTTGTAAAACTGTAGCTCTAAAAGCAGAACCACGACGTTACACCCATAATAGTGATTATTTTGTATTAGAATCACCCATCCAACTTACAGAGGTATATGGTATCCACAAGGAAGCACGTAAGCTGACTGCTACGACACGTTTTCTTTAGAACTCATCAAAGTCCATCGAATAAACCTATAAGCCAAGGCTAACTGTTCAAATTGTTTGGCAGATTGAAGTTTTATGTTTAAATTGCGTAAGGTTCAGCAGCCCCGGTGGTAGTTAGCTACTTGGTGCTGCTTGGGTAAGTGGGATGAGTTATTCAATGGTGAAAATATGAGGATTATCGATGTGGCCTCGTGGCTTAGCTGGTAGAGTGTGCGCTGTACAAAAGCGTAGGCGGCGTCTATGCTTGGGTTTGAATCCCACAGCGGGTAATGAACTGATCATTCTGTCGATCCACACCTTCGAGTGTCAATACCTGATCAATAAACTTCATAACAAGGATCAGGGAGATCTTTGCTATAAGCTACCAATATCAAAATTGGTATACGTTAGCGAATCAAAAGATAACAAACCAAACGCATAAACTTACTCTAATAAATCTGGGCTCAAATGTAGTCAATGGTCGCACAGGAAACCGTTCGGCCTCGACAACCTCGCCAACTCGGGCCAATCGCTCAAGGGAGCATATAATTTTACCCTGCCAGTCTCGTCTCAAACTGACAGATGTGATCCAGGTGCGAACAAATCGGGCGTGTCGACCACGCGCGAACACTGGATTGGCGGCCACATCGATCGCACGCTGGGTGAGTCGCATCCGTCTCTCCCACACTCGCTGATAACCGCGCAATGAGTGCACGAGTGCATGCAGCTTGTCCGGGCATTCCCTGCGGTCCACGTAACCGAACATCACACGATCAATAAGTTCTGGCACGTGTATGAAACTTTTGTCTCGGGGGCTTTGTTCTAAACTCTGCAAGAGAGACACAATTTGATCCGGGTTTCGTTCACAACCGGTAATAACACGGTCCACATAGAGTCGAACTGTCGCCAAATAGGTAGAGAATTCAGCCGGTGGATCTGCCAGTCCAGTTTGCATGATGCTTAGTCGTTCTCGATTTGCACGCCAGTAGGTTTGTTGAAGTAGTTCGGCGTCGTATAGTAATATCCAAGCCGAAATAAACATAGTTTCGTCTTCTGATTGCCAGGGTTCATTGGCTCTGTAATCACAAAGTTAGAATAGTAGGTCATTTTGAAATGCATTCAACAGCATGGAACTCAGTTGAACAATTCAAGATGTGCAGATTCTAACTGACTGAATACAATGCATTCAGAAAGGAACCCCAGTCAACATAAGAAACAGGCGAGCAGAAGTAGAATTCTTTTCACCGTACAAAATCTGTGCAGTTCAACACTAGCCTCACCCTGAGATAGCATCCATGAAATTCCAATGTTCGCTTATTCAAAAAGCGAACGTTTTGATCGATTGGTTACATAATATAGACAAACAATCAGGCCTAATAATCTTTTCTTCAATCTCAATCAGTAGGATTATACGAACGTTCACTAAGAATTCGCTTTTTCAAGACGATTGAGAAGCCTAGTATGGTTGTTTAATTACAGTCGTTTTAGAACTCGCAAACTTAACAGTCAATGCCATATGTTGTTCTCCTAACAGGTCTTAACTGACAAACTGACCCATGAGACTCACCAATTTGCACAGATGAACTCATATCGACAAGACATTTTTACCGGGTTGGTGCCCAGTAGGCTTGCAAAACTAGTTCCGTATATAGAACTCCTTTAACACACACCAACGCATAAACCGAAAACAGTGCGTTAGATGCGAGGGAATTATGAAGCCTCATTCCAAAACCAATTCCTCCTCATGTGTCGTGATGGAATAACATGATGAAGGCATTCTCTAGCCTAGCACAGTATCAATACAAATGAATTAGACACACTTCCGCTAATGGAACCTTTTCTTGGATTTCCCTGGTTTTTTGAGAACACCGCACGCATGAATGAGTTCCTTAAGTGTAAAAATACGTTGATTCGATGCATTGCCGAGATACCATCAAGATCAAAATGTCCTCGAACGGTGTTTTGACAACGGATAAACGTTTTACTTTCACCCAGGTCTGCTCCGCATGGTATGTTACGTTATGTTTTCGGGTTTTGATGAAAAGCCAGTTATGAAGTAACATATATCGGTTTCAATAATGAACTTTATTGAACAGAGTGCTCTTAACGGTAAATATCTGAATAAGATCGATTTCCGAAAATGCCATAGAACGTCACCATCAAAGTATTTTTAATTGCTCAAGAAAGAACCTACAGTTGGAGCAATGCTTGGAATCTAAGAGATTACGAACAAAACCATTAAGATCGATTTCTTTTAAATAGTCGATCTTGGAGTCCCAGTAACGAGGATTTCCTCTAATAGTTGCCTAATGGTTGATATTCAATACGAATTCAAGGATCGATCGATTGAAAATGCGTACATAGTTGGAGAGGTAGTACCACTGAACCTTAGTATAAAATCAGAAAAATAACGCAAAAGGAATTCGGTTCAATGCTCTGAGACAAGCTTGGAGAATGGATGCACTGAACTCAGTGTTACGTAACTAAAGCCATTTTAGAAACTGATCGGTAAAATGGAGTGCTATTTTTATAGACGGCTGATCTCTCTACGGACTATTCACCAAACCCATCGAGTGCTTTCATCAATCAAGAGAAACTGGTTATATGGGTGTGTGCACCTGAGTTGAGGCGGGAAGCATGGAAACCCTGAATCTCCTAGTCTGAGATATACAGAGTCGAGAGTTTCGATTTTAGTTTTGATAACCATTAACCAGGTACTTTTATGCGGCCTTTTCGGTTGCCGTCTTTTGGTGAGTTGAGCGATCTTTATTGAGTTAAACTAACGGGAGGGCAGAGGAAATATGTTAGCTGTACCCGAGTATTGGCCCAATACGATCAATCCATGGCTCGGCACACCGGATCCACTGGTCGAAAGCCAGTTTTAGCCAATGCTGCTGCAATCTGGATCGCTGAGATGCTGCACGCTGTACCAAACTGTGATAGGCGTTAGCAAGCTTTGGAGTCCAACTCTCCATCCATTCTGGTGGATAATTTGAGTGTCTCACATGGGCCGATCGGAGAAACGAGATTTCCAAACACATACGATGTTGTAATTGACGTAGTTGAAGTTTCCAACGCGTGAGACGATCTGAGGCCTCAGTCAAGGCTCGAATGGCATCGTTGGTTGAGTTCGGGGAAATGATGAACGGTGATGGATCCAGCGATTCTTTCTCGAGAGTACTCAGTTCATCGGACAAATCTATTGCAGTAAAAAAAATGGAAACACAAAAGTCAGTGATTGGGACATCCTATAGTGTACGAAACTCTGAATCAAATAAGAAAATGATATGGCAGATACAGGTTGCACGCCCTTAAAAGTTTGCATCAAAACTGAACATTGAAGTACACAGAAGCCAGTTTTGCCGATCTCTTTTAGGCCTACAGAGTGCGCAGGTGGAATGCCTGTGTCGTAAGTGAGTCCGGTTGAGAGAGAAGTAACATCGTCATCCAATCACTTCATACAATTCAGTTGAAGTTCTCGTCGTTTCATGAAATTATTGGAGAGTGCTTTTGATCGTATGATGAAATAAGGTATGTAAAGAGCAAAACATGGCGTGAACGGAAAAGCCAGAAGCGTTGGACAACTGCTTTTACTTGGTTGGGTGTCCTTAGTGGTGCGAAAACATCGACCTGACTTCAGATCGAATCCAGGGCATCATAGATAAAAAGCAGGCATAGTGACGATCTCACCGGCGATCCAGTATGCAGTATGCTTGCCTTCTACCTTTAAGGTCCTGAGTTCGAAACCCAGTTCGGAAGATGGATGAGACCTAACTAGGTCAGAAACAACTGTCCATTTTTTCAATTCACGCTTCATTTGATCTCCAGATGACGAAATTTACCTCGTGATTGTATTATAAATGATTTGTGTAGGCGACTGTGCCTACATTTCGTTATATGTTTGCTATCAAGCTCAATAACTTGGAATATTGCGGATGAAACTTTAAACCAATCGAACATTTTTGGACTGAGAGAAATCTACAATAAGAAGTTCGATGCTAATTTGCTTTTCAGCGATCTGAACCAATCTGTGATGGGTTCGCACTTCAGGTTGTTTCCGTTCTTCTCACAAGGAGTTCGTACCTCCCTCAACATTATTTCATTTGGGAAATGAATTCCCCCCCCCCCATTACGGATGCTTTCAATTCAGACTGTACATGATGGCAAAAGACTTGGACACTCAATGTACAGATTCTTACTCCGGCTAAGACGTTGGTTCTTTCAAAGCCTCCACCTCTTGTCAACTGCTTAACTGCAACCGATTTTATCCTCTGGATTCACCACTTTCTGTTACCTCTTTCGCAATGGCTACACGCAAACATACTATACATATATATATCATAATAAGTAGTATATGATTGATCAGTGGTGTAAAGACAGTTACTGTGACGAAAATACATCTCCTGGGTACAAGCATGTGAATGAACTGACAAAATATTATCAGATACGCATGCCTGACAAGCGACAAGAACCGAAAAACTGGTCTTGTGTTTCCAGGGGAATTTTGTCCAGTCATTCACATACTACTTATTATGAAATATATTTATATATATGTACGTATAAATATTTCGGCACACAGTAGAAGCAAAAACCTCATAACGATGATTTAATGAGTATACTTGGTGGGCTGATTAGTTCCGGTCTACACAAATTTACATAAAGTCCGATATTCATTAGGCAATACACGGGTCAAAAGGTTGAGCCCTTCAAATGTGCCCACTCTCCAGTAATCTGTTACCGCCGTCTTACGCTCGATCTTGTAACAATCGCTTTACTAATGTATACATTCATATAATTTTCACTAATTCGGATGGTAATACAGAACAAACGGATGCCAGTATTGTTCGATTTCATTTATCATCCAAGGTAGAACATAGCTTTGGAATGCGTTTTTGTTTAATTCTGTTCCTCGTCTGTTTCGTTTTCGTGACCAGATCAAACCGGGAGAAAACAGCTAGAAGCGACCGCTTCATTCGTGTGAGAGGAGTGACACTCGCATTTAACCCTTCGGGCCTGGAACCAACGAACGTATGCACACTCACCTTGCATACAGTCAATAAGATAGCACATGCCGTCCGGTAAGTGCACCAGCTGATCACAAAATTCCATCAGGGTGAACTGTTCCACAGCGTGTTTGTGAACTTGTTTCAAATCACGAACGAGACTGGAAACGAGATTCGATCGATTTGGTGCTACACTGTCAGTATCATCGCTGTCAATCGTTGCCCCAGGTTGACCACATTCGAGCACGGTAGCTAACAGAGGCAGTTCACTGCAGTTCTCCTAAACAAACATCACAGAGAGAAGGAGATAGAAAGAAAGGAATTACGTATAAGTATACCCATGTTGAGTTATGAGCTCAATTCACCGGATTAGGGACAAATATCGTAGATAGGTGAGGATCAAACGACAAAATAGGCAAATAGAATCAATCGTAGGAAGCTTTTAGTGACAACACAGTAAACGATTGATGCTAAATGCTATTGTGTTCTTGCATGCAACCTGATACCGAGAACCAGCTGGGTCAGATAGGGCTGGTTAACATTTTGGATTACCACACCATCCGTGCTGAGGTTCAAATCTAATTGGGCTGAATAGCCATGAATCGGTACTTATTTGTCACAAGCCGCATGAACCAGATAGACAGTACGAACTTCGCGAACTTTCTACAGGTGGTTCATTGACAATGCATATCGTGTGTGATAATGAGGAAATAACAGGAGCAACAAACCAGATCGTTTTGGATGGTTTGGTCCTATGAATGAACAGTTATATATATGTCTTATGCATATATGTATACAATAGGTAAATTCAAGACGAATGTGTGGTGACTGCATGAGATGGATGCGGTGGAGAGCGTCTGGGAAGGATGTCGAATGCAAAGCAGTCTGTTAGCGATTTACATTATGGAACCAAGAAACAAAGAAGATTAGAAATGGAAGACATAGGACAGACAATTACGAAAACTACACCACNACCCAAACCCTCCAGCAACACCAAGTTACAACTGCAGAGGCGGTAGGCATAAATCTAGTACGACCAAAATCATGTTAACAAAAAACAATTCCAAGGATGAGTTGGTGGGGCTTATTACACATCAGGTTTCGATCATACAACTTTTCAGTTGGATCGCGTAGTCGTACTGCAATAGATTCCTGGTCATTGTAATAGATAAAATAGTATATGTATCGATTGATTGACTAATGTAATATTCGATTCTCTAATTTTTCGGGGTTTTCCCCAAACTTCATTTGAATATGAGTTACATAAAATTCACTGAAATTGCCAATGTGTCTTGGAGCGCTTGAGCGAAGTCCCTTGTGGAGAAAATAGGAAAACATTATTCATGATCAATCACACGAGATCCATGGATGGAACGGATCTCACTGAAAAACTTGGGTGCCGTGCTCGTGCTTATTGAGGAAATTAGCTTGTTTTAGACACGGCGAATGAAAAACCAAAACACAAGACGTTGGTTCACCAAAGTTGGTGAATATTTCAATATTTTTCACACAGAGCGACACAGTTATTATGTTATGTTTAACGATTGATGACTTACACCACTAATGCTTGAATAACATGTAATGATTACATGTAATGTAAAATTTTGGGTTCTTGGAGTTTTTTTTTGAATTTGCAGGTTTGCTGTAAAACCCGACTCCCAGACACCCAATCTGTTTCTGGTTCCCATTGTCCCATGTAGCTCGAACCTCCGCTGCCCCGTGGTCCTCCTTTCATTTGGTCTCGCATGGTTTCTAGTCGAGGACTACGAGCCAGGGGAGGTAGTGTCGCACATCTTTGTAGATTCGGCTGCGCTATGCAAACCCAGAGTACGTTCGTATGACAGCTGTTCTCGGTCGAGACCCACGTGTTGCGTGAGATAATTTCAGTCAGCTTGCCATCGTGACCTCGGATTGCAAAACACCGGTCAATATCAACTTTTCAATAAAGGATGGTTACTTTTAAGAAAAATATGTTTTCCCCACGTCAACCGCGGTAGAAAAATGAATTTTGTGGTTTAATTAGAATGTCATCAGTTGACAGCATCGACTAAACGATGAAAGCGATTCCTATAGCTTACTCGGATAAATGCCTTTAGTTGACGCCATTGTGTTATTTCGTTAGTAAACCATTGTTTGACGTGGAAAGTGGTCTCCTCTGTGCCAGTTGCGTTCTCCACTGAATCGGAGATAGTGCTGTTGAGAGAGGCCACTGGTGGGATCGGAAACGATTCCAAATCCAAGTATTTTTGCCAGCATTGTACTTCCAGTTGACAGCAATCGACAAACCAATCCCAGGAGAGAGATAAACGTTTGTGATCAACATCCTGTGAGAAGAGAACAGCAAAAATTTTAGTTTGTGAAACGCCGGTGTATCTACGACACAGGAAGACGATATAATTGCTTGAGGCAAAACAGAATAATTAAAAATAACAGTTAATCGGTGTAATTGGCACTCATTGACCAACCTGAGGAAACTCGAAAGATCAGAACGGAAAGGTCTGCTGTCGGTACGAGATTAATGTTCTAACTGTCCGGTTACATCCCGGAACCCATATATATATATATATATATATATATATATAT